GCAAAGTCCACTCGCAGCGCGCGGCCGTTGATGTCGTAGCCGTTGAGGTTGCGCATGGCACTCATGGCCGTCTCCGTGTCCCTGTACTCGCAAAAGCCGAAGCCCTTGGGCTTGCCCGTCTCTCGGTCGAACACCAACCTGCACCCAGTGCCCAACCAACGACACCAAGCCAGTCAGTCACACGTGCGTGCGTGCGTGCATCGATGTTGGGCAAAAGAAGCAGGAGCAAGCAGCACTGGCATAACAGGAGAAGGAGAGGTGAGGCAAGTACCGGAAGCAGGTGACAGGCCCCACGCTAGAAAAGATCTCTGTGAGCTGCTCCTCCGTCGCATCGTACGGAATATTGCCCACTGCAAAACCACATTTACACCACAAGATAAATCTATCATGGTCGCTGTGCTTGCTGGTAATTGACAGCCCCCCCCCATGCAGGCATTATTCGATCTTGCTCCATAGAGGTAAGATCGGGCACATACCAAAGACGCATCGCTGGGAACTGCCGCCACCTCCGCCTCTATTCATCTCTCTATGTAATGTGTGAATTGTGATTTCGTCTTGTCTCTTTTTTCTGCTTCTTCTTTTCCTTGATTTCTCTTGTCATTTCTTCGGCTATTTTCTGTTTCTATTTAAAACGACGAAGTGTCCGTTAGCCCGAAGTTGAGGCAACAGAGAGAAGTGCTTCTCTCGGGTGGCTTGACGTCTTGCCGGCCCTTGATTTGCCAAGCGCAGACGACTACAAAGACAACTTGAGCGTACTTGGATTTAATTCGACAATTGGGTTGAAAATGGAGGAAACATCTGGAGGCAGGAATGCAAGGGAGGTGCCTTCGATCGTTGGGCAGTGGCGGGAACAGTGCGCGAGGGACTTCACCAACCTCTTGGATGCCATTCGCGTACGCTCCCCTCAAATCACTGCTTTTGCTCGTAGTGTGGCGTGTTGTTGCCGTGTGTGCTGGCTTCTCACCACTACTTGCAGGTTTCGACAGAGACCGTGACGTTGGTGGTCGACCCGGACCTGCTGGGTCCGCTGCGGCTGGTGCTGGGCGAGGATCTCTCCCTGCTCCAGACCTACGGCGTCGGCCGCATGATCCTGCTCACGCCCGACAGCTGGGACTTCCGCGAGCTCGACGTGGACTCGCCCTATGTGGTCTACTTGGTGCGGCCCGTGCCGACGTGGATGCGGATCATCGCCAGCCACGTGCAGGAGCACTCGCGGAAGACCCGCACTTGGCCCATCACCGCCTCAGCGCGATCTTCCGAAGCCGCATTTACCACTCTGTCCTACCTCACACCAGCTGGCAGTTCTCAGAATTCAGGTTCGTATGTGTGCCGTCGCAACTCATGTGTGTCGTGTCGTGTGCGCCGTGTCGTGTGCGTCGTGCATGTCGTTTCTCACACTCGTTTTTGGTTCCTAAAGCGCTGTACGATCCAGTACATGCGCCGGCGGGCACAACACAGTTTGCGATAATCTTCACACCGCAGTGTAGCATCGTACGTGATCAATTCACTCTTGTGGCATCGGCACTCTCTTCTCACTCACAAGTTCCCATTTTTGTTCTTGTTGGCAGGTGTGCGATCGTGTTCTGGAGGAGGAAGGCGTCAAGGGCATGGTCGGTATCTACGAATACGCGCTCCATCTGCTGCCCTACGGCGATGTCCTTTCCATGGAGGACGAAGAATCCTTCAAGAACATATTTGTGGTGCGCCGCACGCACGCACGCACGCACCGCACCGCACATGCATACATGCACGCTCACATAGTCATACTCTGCTCTGTGTGTGTTGAGAACAGGAGAACGACACATCTTCGCTTTATTTCGTGGTGCGCTCGCTGATGCAGCTCCAGCGCACCTACGGCACCATCACCAACATCAAGGGTACGGTGGTCCTCCCCTCGGGTCTAAAGTCTCAGCCGTGCTGGTTTCCGGGAATTCACGGAATGCGTTGCTGGTCAGGTCGTGGGTTGCATGCGCAAACGGTGGCCGACCTTCTGCTCAGGTACACACAAGAAGAGGCCGAGTCCAAGAAGAAGCGCGGTGTGCCCACCACTGGCGGTGCCGATGCGGAGGCGGAGGCGGACGCCGACAACGACAACGACGGCACGGACTCCTCGAAGAAGAAGGGACTCAAGAGCCGCAAGACCAGCCCCCGGGGCAAGAGCACCGTGCCGACTAGAATCGACGCTCTCATTCTTCTCGATCGAAGTCTCGACCTTGTGCGTAATCACAACACGCACGATTCACACGGCACACACGGCACACGGCACACGGACATCGAACCAACTAGTGATTGGCTGCGACCAGGTTACGCCGCTGGCCACTCAATTCACGTACGAGGGGATCATCGCCGAGGTGCTGGGCATCGACCACGGCTCGACCGAGGCGGACCCGGGCGTAGTGCCGGTCCCGGGCGCTGACGAAGATGAGGGCGGCAAGGGCGGACGCCGGGGGCGTGGCCGCGGTAATGAGGGCCGAGGAGGCGGCCGAGGGAGGGGACGGGGGCGGGGGCGAGAGGCTGGCAAGAATGGAGCAGGCGGAGACGAAGACTCGGATGCCGCCAGTGACGAGAAAGTGAGGATCTCACTCTACGGCGCGGGAGCGCTCTTCAACGTACGGCTGGAGCTCAGCATCAACACCATCACCACCACCATCCGTTGCGAAGCAGAGTGAGTTGATTGATGCAATGCTGTATGCGTGTGTATGCAGGATTTGCGCGATGTCAACTTTGCAGCGCTCAGGCAGGTGATGCAAGACAAGGCCCGTGTCATCACGCCCAAATACCTGGTAGGCCGCCACGTGCCTCTGTGTACGCGCGCGTAAGCTAATTGGCCTGGTGGTGCGTGGCTACAGAAATTGAAAGGGACGCTGTCGCAGAACGAGAAGGAGGGCTACCTCCTGCCCGAAAGCGAACTGCAGTCTCTCCTCCCCGAGTTTGCCTCCCTCCAGACCGACTACCAGTCCCTCCAAATGCGTATAGGCCCGCACCACGCGCCACACAAATGCACGGGTTTGCGCGTTCGATGCGTGCGGTGCTCAGTGCGTAACAATTTTCATGATATGGAACATAGACACAAATCTGGCGGACAAGGTCTTGCAGGCCACCCGGCATCCCGCGTTCATCGCCCGCCTTCAATTCGAACAACGTACGCTGCCTTTCACCTGGGAGTGTTCTTACCCACGAATTACTCACCCATCCCCGCACAGGTCTGGTGGCGACGGGCGACGTGGCGCGGAATCCGCTGCTCGAGCAGGCCGTGCGCGCCGGCGAGCAGTTGGTCAAGGTCCTGCGGCTGCTCTGCCTCTCGTCGGTTGTGGGCGGTGGGCTACCGCGCCCCGCCTACGATCGATACCGAGCCATGATTCTCGACGTACGCCGCTCCTCCCGCACCACGCGTACTCTCACACTCGCACGCCGCATTCTTACCCTGCGCCGGGCCGGCTCATAGAAATACGGAATGCACCACATCTGCACTCTGGACAACTTGGAGAGCGCGGGCCTGCTCACGCCCCTGATTGGTATGCCTCCTTGGCCTGTTTGTTGATTATTTATAATTTTGTAAATAATAATGTTTCTGTAATATTGCGCAGGCAAGCCCATGTTCCCGAAGCTGCGCGAGCTGATGCGATTAGTCGTGCCCGAAGCGCAGAACGGACAACCTCTCGATATTGCCTACACACACTCTGGGTGCGCTATGCACTCTCCTTTGTGTCTGTGCCGTGTTTTGTTTATTTACTCCTTTTTTTTTCTGGGTGTAGATATGCGCCGCTTAGTGTGCGCCTGGTGGAGGCGGCGGCCAATGACGGCTGGCAGGGCGGCGAACTCAAGCGACTGCACAATGTGCTCGGACCCGTCTTCGAGTACGCCGTCAACGAGGACGGCGATGTCTTGTCCGGCGATGGCGCCTCGTCGTCATCGCAGAGCAAAGATGGGAAGACGCGGCGACGCGATCGCACGCTGAGCCCGAGGGACCGGAGTCCGAGATCGGGGCAAGATAACGTTGAGCCGAAAGGTAAACACCACACACACACGCACACACGCACACACGCGTGCGAGTGTTCGCACAGCATGCTGACTTGGCGTCATATGGGGTGGTGGGCGACAGTGGCTTTGGTGTTCATCATTGGAGGAATGACCCACGCCGAAGCTGCGGCCCTGCGCTGGCTCTCCTCACGAGGTGCGTTAGTGCCCCCACCATGACTGCACGCAATTAATTGCCACTCACACCATCGATGTCGCGCAGGTCGCACACAGTATCTGATCGGAACCACGAAGCTCCTCACCGGCGACACCTTCATCGAGCCATTGATTGAGGAGATATTCTGATCCACCTCGCAGACCTGCTTCTCAGGAGGGACTCAGGAGGAACCACACGAAGTAAACTTTTGTGTGGGTGTGCGTCGTACTCGCGCCGGTAGCACTTTCAGGTGTCTTTCATGCAGGCCTTTTTGAGAGTTTTGAAACGCTTTTGAAACGCATTTGGGAGGTCCTGTGCTGACGTGGCATTAAAAAAAGGGCGAAATTGCCGGCTTCCTGCCTCCGCCTCAAGCAGGCTCGTCGCCCATCCCCCTCCTCTCACCCGCCCTAATCCTTCTTCTTGCCACGCCCTGCGCTCAATTTTAGCTCGCGGCAGCTGCTTCAACTGCGACTGCACCAACAGCAGTTCCACGGCTTCCCTTCACCAGCACCACAGCCACCATCACCCACAGCAACTCACCCGTCTTCTTCAGCACGCCCTCTCCGGCACCGCGGCTTCCGTCAATGGCTCTTCCTTTACATCGCCCGAGGACGAGGTCACGCCTCCTCGAAAGGTAGGCCCGACCACAGCAGTGCCGAGGGGATGCGCGGGCTGTTCGGTGATTTGTTCGAGCCGCAGCGGATGTACAGCCCGCACAAGCCCATCTCGGCCAGCCAGTTCGACACCGTGAACGACCTCTTGGGCGGCATTGTGGGACCCGACCGCTCCCCCACCGCCGCCGCTGCCAAGCCACCACGGCCGCAATAGCCATAGAGCCGCGGGAGCAGGTAAGCAGAGTCCGCCTGGGTACCCTATTGGTCTTGTCTCGTGCCTGGTAACGAATGACTTACCTTTCGGGCGCCCCACAACCTAAAGTAGTTGTGAAAGGCCCGGAACTGAACAGCACCGCTCATGTTTAGGTTTCGGGACTTTGTTGCGTCTCAACTTGGTGGAATAGGCAAGAGGCGTATGAAAACAGGTAATTCACTTTGTCATACCACGAAGAAGGGGAGGACAACAAGTATTATCCATCTGTCTCACCCGCAAGAAGAATCAGAAGAGAGGTCATCACTCAACTCTGCTCGATTAGCCCGGTCATCAGGCTGCGGGAGTTCAGAAACGAATTCGTCCAGACATGCTGAAGTGCCTGTCTGTATTTACGATCGTCTTCTTGATGATCGTGGCCTTGATCTGCGAAGGGATCACGGCGGACCAGACCGAGCGACAGGACGACGAGCGGCGGGTCGAACTCCAGGCCCCCATTCCTGAGGACCTGCTTTCCTACCAAGGGTGGTCGATCACCCGCAAGCGATCCGCCCCCGCCACCGAGGTCACCTTCTTCGTCGAACTGCGGTAACAACCTCCTTTTTGGTGGTGGCGATGGTGGGTGGTGGGTGGCGATGTGGCGGTGGGCGGTGGCGGTGGGTGGTGGTGTTTCTTCTTATGTTCAACTCTGCGTTACAGAACAGGGAAGGAGGGCGAAGTGGAAAAGGTTGCCGCGGCGGTGTCCGACCCCAAGTCGCCTTCCTACGGCAAATTCCTCTCTGCCCAGGAGCTCAGGTCAGTCATCCCCCCTCGCGCGCAACACCGCAGCACTGTTGTGGGCAGAAACTGAATGTTACGACTGCTGCACGACTAGGGACTTGGTGGCTGCGCCGCCAGAGGTAGAACAGGCCGTGCTGCAGTGGCTCGATGACGAGAGCGCGGCCAACGGCCACCAGCCCATCTCCAGCAAGTCCTACGGAGACTTGATCATGGTTCTTCTCCTCGTCGCCTTCTTCTTTTTCTTCACAATTCCAACTGGCGGCGGCGGCGGGGTGCAGGTGAGCACGACGGTGCAAAACGCCGAACTGCTGTTTGACACCCACATCGCCGAGTTCACGCACGGAGTCTCCGGGCGCTCGGTTCAGCTCATCGTGCAACGTGCGCCACCAACACACATTTCATCGCTTCATACGATTCACACACACACACACACACACACACACACACACACACACACACACACACACACACACACACACACACACACAAACCTGCGCAGCTGCCACGGTGTCGCTGGAGATCAGCCACAACGTGCGCGCGTTGGTCGGTTTGTCCGATGTCTCAGTTCCGCGTCACTTCGCCTCGTACCATCTCACCGAGGACGGCCAAGTCGAGTCCAGGGTACGCACGCACCTTCAGCACAGCTCTTGGCTTAACCGCACATGAATCGTGAGTTCCTGATGGCGCCGTTATTGGTCAAACAGACCCTTGATCGCCGGCAAACGTCGACCATCGGCCCTAGTAATCTGAGGACTCGCTACAACATCTCGTCATCCGTCTTTGCCTCATCGTCCGTTTCGCAGGTGCGTGTGTGTATGCGTGTGCGTGTGCGTGTGCGTGTGCGTGTGTGTGTGTGTGTGTGTGCGTGCGTGTGTGTGTGCGTGCGTGCGTGTGTGCGTGTGTGTGCGCGTGTGCGGTCGTGCGTGTCACATATCGCCGAAGCGTTGGCAAGCTTGGCAGCTATTGAACTCTCTGCCTCCCGTGGTGCGTGTGCGTGTGCGTGTGCTGTGTGCCGTGTGCCGTGTGCGTGTGCGTGTGCGTGTGTGTGTGTGTGTGTGTGTGCGTGCGTGTGTGTGTGCGTGCGTGCGTGTGTGCGTGTGTGTGCGCGTGTGTGTGTGTTGCGTCGTTGCGGTGGGCAGAACCTCTGACTCTTTGTCGTGTTCGACGGTACTCAGGCTGTGGTGTCATACAACGATTTGTACTCGACCAGTGCTCTGCAGGTTCGGCTCACCCTTCCCCTGGCACCTCGTCTTACTGGTCTCTCTGTTCAAACTCTTTGTAATGTTGATTGGCTTGTATGCGCGCTGTAGACCTTTTCGACGTACTACTCCCTGCCCATGCCGACAGTAACGACCGTCAGAGGAACGGGCTCCAACGTGCCCTGTTCCTCCTACGCCTGCTCTGCTCAAGGTGCCTTGCCTTCCCCTGTTGCCGCTATCACGCACAGCGCCTACCAACAATACGGCGGACGCGGTTGCAGGCGAGAGTGACCTCGACATACAGTACATCACGGGCGTGGCGCGCAATGCCGACAACCGTTTCCATCTGAACGACAACGCGGGCTGGTCCACGTACTACTGGGCCGTCGAGGTCACCGCGTCGACTGACCCGGCCATGGTGACACCCTCCCTTTGGCCCTGCGACCCACTGCTCGTTAGCTAACCAATCACGCACACGACACACGACACACGACACACGACACACGACACACGACACACGACACACGACACACGACACACGACACACGACACACGACACACGGCACACGACACACGACACACGCACCACCGCCGCACCGCCGCACCGCCGCACCGCCGCACACGACCAAAACAGGTGTATTCGGTTTCGTGGGGCTCCGACGAGGTGACAAGCACGGGATTGCAGTGGGGCGACACAGCCTCCACCGAGTCGCAGCTGGCCAAGGTGGCCGCCCGCGGCATCTCCACGCTCGTTGCGTCAGGTTGGTCCACCTCTCAGTTGTTGTTGTTGCGGGATTGACTTTGACGGTAACAGGTGACACTGGCGCTGCTGGCGGAAGTGAGGGATGTCCCTTGGATACTACCAGATACTGCTACCGCGGAGGCTGTGCTCACACGACCACTTCTTGTACTCTCCGTCACACACGACACACGACACACACGACACACACATACGACACACACGCACAACACACACACACACACACACACACACACACACACACACACACACACACACACACGACACACACCACACGTTGACTGACCGTGTGGGGTGTAATTCATAGGTGGCCAGATTATCGTGGTCGATTCGACGTACGGCAGCAGAAGCTTCCCCGGAAGTACGTGTGCCACCTGCGTCCTCCCGACTCAGCCTATCTCTCTGTCCTCCCCCCTTCCCTCTCTCTCTCTCTTAACCGCGGGTGCGTGTTGGTGATGTGCTCGAGCAGCCCGCTCGGGTACCTGGGTGAAGGAGCTCAACAGTTACACGGCCACCAGCGCCTGGACCACCGCTGTGGGCGCCACCGAATGGTCGGCCTCGGGTCTGTAACATACGCCGCACACATCGCACGCCGCTCGCGCACAATAACTTGCGCTGACGGCCGCGGTCGTTGGGCAGGAGTCGATGTGGTGGGCTCGAATGAGGGCCTTTCCATCATCACGTCGGGCGGTGGCTTTTCCTACATTGCCACACGACCCACGTGGCAGAGCGCACATGTGGCGGCCTACCTCGCCAAGTCGGGCCTCTCCTTCCCGCCTACCACTACCTACAACACCAACGGTACTTCACCCACAACCGCACGCACGCACTCGCGCGCGCGCGCGCACACACACACACCCAACACAACACCACACACACACACACACACACACACACACACACACACACACACACATACACACAACACAACCACAGGGCACACAGTTGTACTGATGTTTGTGTGGTGGCGCAGGAAGGGGTTATCCGGATGTCAGCTTGCTGGGTCACTACTACCGAGTCTCCTACACCGGCCCGTCTGGAACCGACACACCTTACGTACGGCCGCACTGTTCAACAGGTTGATTCTATTCTCTGAACCCAACCATAACAACTTCACGCGCGCGCAGTGGGTGGCCATGGATGGCACCAGCGCTAGCGCCCCTGCCTTCGCCGGCATGATTACACTCATCAATCAGATGCGTAATAGCGCGTACGTTCACAACACAAACGCCACACGCCACACACGCCACACACACACACACACACACACACACACACACACACACACACACACACACACACACACACACGACTAGAGTCAGTCTTATCATATGACCGGTTGGTGGTGAACAGGGGCAAGGCGCAACTGGGCTTCCTCAACCCGGCCCTCTACCAGATGGCCACCGAGCGTCCGTCGGCGTTCACCGACGTCGTCTCGGGAACCAACAAGGCCACCATGGGTTACGTGTGCCAGTACGGCTGGGCCGCCACCGCCGGCTGGGACGCCGCCACAGGCGTACGTCTCTCACAAAACACACGCGCACACACACGCACACGCACACGCACACGCACACGCACACGAAACACAACGACTGATTTGAATCGCTTCCGTGTGCAGCTTGGAGTGCCCAACTTTGGTATAATGGCCGACTACTTGCTCAAATTTGACGATGTCACAGCGTCGCCGTCGACCACGCCCTCCGCCTCGATGTCGACCACGCCGTCGGCCTCGCGCACGCCCTCTCGCACGCCCTCGTCGTCTCCGTCGACGTCGTCCTCGCGCTCGGTCACCCCATCGGCCACGCGCACCACCACCCCGTCTTCATCTACATCGGCCACGCGTACGCCTTCCCCCACCAGCTCGACAACGCCGTCGGCCACGCCATCGACCACGCGCTCGGTCACCCCATCGACCACGCGCACCACCGCCCCATCTGCCTCTACATCGGCCACGCGTACGCCTTCGCCCACCAGCTCGACCACGCCGTCGGTCACCCCATCGGCCACGCGCACCACCACCCCGTCTGCCTCTACATCGGCCACGCGTTCTCCTTCGCCCACCAGCTCGACCACGCCGTCGGCCACGCCATCGACCACGCGCTCGGCCTCGCCCACCAGCTCGACCACGCCTTCGGCCACGCGCTCGGCTTCGCCCACCAGCTCGACCACCGCCACGCCATCGGCCACGCGTTCGCCTTCGCCCACCAGCTCGACCACGCCATCGACCACGCCATCGACCACGCGCTCGGCCTCGCCCACCACCTCGACCACACCGTCGGCCACGCCCTCAGCCACACCGTCGACCACCCCCGCGGCTTCGTTGTCGCCCACCACGTCCCTCACCGCGTCCCCCACAAGGTCGCCCACAAGGTCGCCCACCACCACGCCATCGGCCACGCGCTCGCCCTCGCCCACCAGCTCGGCCTCACCCTCGACCACGCGCACGGCCTCGCCGTCGACCACCCCATCGGCCACCCGGTCGACCACCCCCACCACGTCGCCGACCCAGTCGGCTTCACCCTCGACCACGCGCACGGCCTCGCCATCGCCCACGGCCACCCGGTCGACCACCCCCACCACGTCGCCGACCCAGTCGGCCTTACCCTCGACCACGCGCTCGGCCTCGCCATCGACCACCCCATCGGCCACCCGGTCGACCACCCCCACCACGTCGCCCACCCCCACCACATCGCCCACCCGATCGGCTACGCCGTCGGCCACGCGCTCGACCACCCCATCGGCCACCCGGTCGACCACCCCCACCACGTCGCCCACCCCCACAACGTCGCCCACCCCCACCACCTCGCCCACCCGATCGGTTACGCCGTCGGCCACGCGCTCGACCACCCCCACGGCTTCGCTATCGCCTTCGATGTCGCCCACCCGATCGGCCACTCCGTCGCCCACCCCGTCGACCACCCCGACCGCTTCGAGCTCGCCCTCGACGTCGCCCACCCAATCGCCGTCGCCGTCGCCCACGCGCTCGACCACGCTGTCACCCAGCCGCTCGACCACGCCCAGCGGCACGCTCATGCCCACCCCGAGCTCGACGCAGTCGCCGTCGGCCTCGCGCACGCCCAGCCCGTCGGCGTCGCCCACCCCGAGCCGGTCGGCCAGCCCGAGTCAGTTGCCGGCGAACTCGCGGCCGCCCTCGCCCAGCTCCACCCGCGTGTCATCCCCCCCGTCACCCACGCGCAGCCCGAGCCGCTCGCGCACGCCGTCCCGCACGCCTTCCAGGTCGCCGTCGCGCTCGCCTTCACGCTCGCCGTCGCGCTCGCGCACACCGTCTCGCACGCCGTCCCGCACCCCCTCCCGCACGCCCTTTTGATGAGTCTCTCTTTTGTACTTATTTTGGTTCGGCCATTCCATGCCATTCACTCGTCATTACGCTGGGCCGAGGTGGTGCTGTTGGCGGTGGTGGCCAGGGCGAGGAGGCGCTGGGCGGCGGCCTCGGCGCGGTCGCGGTATTCGAGGTCGGCGTAGTGCGACACCGGCGCCACACCCGCGAGGCCGTAGAGCGCGCCGAACCACGCCCCGCAGATCACGCCCGTCGAATCGTTGTCGCCGCCGTGCAGGATGCCGCGATAGACCAGTTCATGCCACGAGTCGCCGGCCCCGAGCAGCGCGTCGTAGGCGATGATCACCGAGTCGTGTCCTGTTGGCCAATCGCACACAACGCAACACCACGCACGGGGTCAGCCACGCGGCCAAATGGTTGAAAGCTGTTTTTTGTGGTGGTGGAGGGGCTTGAACCGGAAGCGCCGCCCCAGCCGGCCCAGGCGATGGAGCTGTAATAGGCGTCGCGCTCGGCCGGACCCCAGACCTCGGGGAAGGTGGGCTCGGCCTCGCCGTTGTCGATCTTCCGCAGAAGCATGTAGGCCCGCCTGGGTCGTTTCGGCCGAAAGGAAGAAAGAACGCCATATGATTGGTGATCTATCGAAATAAATAAAAGAACCAATGAGAGGCAAGCGAACCAGTGGTCCTCGAAGTACTTGAGGTCGGCCTGGTACTCGGCCCAGTCCCTCCCCTGCTGCTCCAGATACCTGTAGGCCCGCGGGAGGATCTGACCACCGGTACGTCGTTGTTTTTCAGTTCCACCGCACGCACCCACGCACACACACACACACGCCACACACACGACACACGCACACGACACACACACAACACGGCATGGTGCCAGCACGTGAGGTGGATTATTACGGACCTGGTCGAGCAGGAGGCGTCCCCACTGAATCGGTGGAATCTTCTCGATGGCGTAGGCCGTGAAGAGAGCCGCCACCAACGCCTTAAAATAGATTATTACAAGATTAAATAATAATCTTGACAATGACGATTGTGACAAAAAACAATAAAGAAATAAACAATAATCAATAATCATTTATGGAAAAAGAAAGAAAAACAACAGGGAAGAGGCTGCGTGCGTACCCCAAATAAGCCGGTCGGGTGGTTGTGGGTCATTCGGCTGCTCTCGATCGAGGCCGCGATCAGCTTGTCTCTCTATGTGTGTGTGTGTGATGCATTCATTGACGCTTGTGTCAGGCCGTGCGGGCGTTGGGCGGTTACAGGCGCGCGTTGGGTGGTGAGAGATGAGCGGTGTACATTTTCTTCGCCGGGAAAGCGGAGACCGATGCACATGGCCCGCATCGCACCACCGCACCCGCCACCGAGCCGGCAATAAGGAATCGCTGAAGTGTGACGTCATCATGTTGAGTTATCGCACACTGCACACACCGCACACACCGCACGTACTGTCCCAGCGGTGGAAGGAGAGGTGGCGCACGGACTGGGAGGTCATCGGGCCAGGCGCCCGGCCGCCCATGTCGTCGAAGCACTTGACATAGTGCTTGGCCAGGATCGGGTAGAGCTCCTCGAGCGGCCGCTCCGCCCCGTGCTCCACCAGCGCCTGGCATTGCCACACGACACACACACACACACACGACACACGACACACGACACGACACACGACGGCAGGGTGTGAGGAATGTGTGGGCCAATAGAGAGGAATGCGGAAGCAGGAGTGTACCTCGGCGGTGGCGAGGTGCATGACTTGGTCGTCGGACACCATACACTTCTTGATGCTCAGCTTGTCCAGTCCGCCCAGCGCCTTCAGCTCGCGCAGGATCGCCACGCCTGCCAATTTCATTTTCATTTTTATGTTAAAAAATAAAGAAAATAAAAAAACGTGGCAAACACAAACTTATCGGGGGGAGGGGGGGTACCGTCAAACGTGAACTCCCAGACGCCATTGCGATAGCCCATGGCGTCGCCCACGCCCGCCAGGACCATGCTCGCCCGGTACCGCTCCGCGACCTCCCCCGTCTGCCCGCCGCCGTGACTCGCCACCACCGTCTCCTTCTCTTGTTCCATTTTTGTTTACTATAAGTAGCGGGGCTAGGAATCAAGGCTCCCCCTTTCCACGCCTGCCCGGGGTTTCAGTCCCGCAACTATATATTTATTTAGCCATAAGCCTGCACCAACTGCGCTTCTGGCTTCCACGTTTGCCGACAGCCATTCTGTGCTGGAGGTTAGGGCGGTGCAGCGTTCTCCCCCAGCGGAGGAAGGCGCCAGTCGCGACGCGTTGGGCGGTGCGGGCTATGAGTAGTAGTTTTTTGTCCACTGGGCCATCGGGGATCACCGCCACCGCTGCGTTCGCACCGTTCCTGCGACAGTACAGGTGGTGTCTGGTGCTCTTATTCCTTAAAAAATCCATAATTGAATATATTCTTTTTGATTGGCACTTATAGCGAAGAAGAGGCAGAGGCGGAGGAGGTCTTCTTCTCGTCGAGGAGGCGGTACTGCTGGATCCAGGAGGGCTTGAAGTCGGAGCGGAGCTTGACGTACTCGACGACCTGGACCCGCTTGAGGCTGGCGAGGGCCGACTCGTCGAGCAGGTGGCGCAGCTGCCCGGCCTCGATGAGGTGGATCGAGGCCAGATCGCTGAGCACCTCGAAGGCCTCCGTCACCGCCGGAAACGGGAACGAGCTCAGCGCGGCCTGCTGGTACTCTTGCATGTCCCTGGTGCACCGGTTGGTACCGATCAGGTGTGTGTCGTGTCGTGTCGTGTCGTGTCGTGTCGTGTCGTGTCGTGTCGTGTCGTGTCGTGTGCGGTGAGGGTACCGTTTGAGTTTCATGCCGCCCATGCCCTGGCTGACGGTGAACTTCCTGAAGTGCTCCAGCAGCAACCTGTGAACAGCAAAAAAGAAGAACGTCAATGCGAGCACCCGGGTAGTGTTGTGAGCGAGAGGGGGGGAGGGGGTTACTTCTGTAGTCGCAGGCCCAGCTCCTCTAGGAAGCTCTCGGCGTTCTTGCCATCGAGGTTGGCCTGTGTTTTGTGTTGTATTATTATTATTTATTATTTATTATTATTTATTATTTATTATTTATTATAATTATTTAAACATTGTTACGAGTTGGCCAAGTCAAAAAAGATGGTGGAGGAGGTGCGGTACCTGGATGACCTTGGTCTGGGCCACGATGTAGTTGACCGCATTGGCGCACGCCGTGGTGGGCCGGTTGATGGAAATGATATCGTCGTCGCTCAGCCTGCAAACAGTTCTCAAAGTCAGCCCTCGCACTCGCACACGCCACACACGTCACACGTCACACGCCACACACACACACACACACACACACACACACACCGGAAATCGTTTCTGCCTTGCTCGTAGCCCAGCTGGCGCTCAAGGGTGGCGACGACCACTGCAACGGGCACGGGGTGTAATGTGAGTCATAGGGCAGTGCGTGCGCATCTGCAGAGAGCCGCCAGGCGCGTGGGGTGCGAGGTCGGCGGTACGGTTGAGCGTGAGCTCCAGGCCCTCGCTGATCTTGTCCTCAAGCATGGCCAGCAGGTGGTCCTTCTTATCGATGCACTCGCTGTACACCGTGTTGGACTGGGAAACGTGCGGCGCCTGCATGTTGTGTGTGTGCGTGTGCGTGCGTGTGTGCGTGTGTGCGTGCGTGCGTGTGTCATGAGCAGCACACGCAGCACACGCGCCCTCGTTACGTCACGTTAGAACACAACGTACGATCTCGACGTGAAAGTGTCGCTGGAGAAGGATCACGATTTGGTTGACCTGCTGGGCCACCTCCAAGAAGTGAACACGCCCGGACCGTCCTCCCCGCAGCGGTTTTAACGCACTGGAAACACAACACACACGACACACACGACACACGACACGTACAACACACGCACTAAGCGTCAGGGGGAAGAAGAAGGGAGGAGGGGGGTGACGGTACGCCTCGAGGGCCGGGTTGAGGTATTGGTGGCCCAGGTAGTCCACCAGCGCGCCGAATACTCGGAACAGGTTGGGCGGTCTGTAGGCCGATGAAGCCAACGTAAGTCACCGACCGGGACCGACACAAGCGGGGGGTGGGGAAAGGGACTGCAGGCGGGTGGTACAGGGCGCCGGGTTTGGAGAGTTTGATGCAGCGCCGCACGGACTCCTCGTTGAGGTGGATGAAGTGGAGAATCGGCTCCAGCGTGGTCAATTCGGGCACGCGATACATCAGGTTGGCATTCTGCGTTTCGTTGTTTGCGTGGTTAGGCACGTACACAACATCAACACACACACACACACGACACACACACACACACACACGACACATGCGCATACGGCACCTTCTTGCCCTGCACACTCCATGCGGACGCAAAGTCCTTGGAGGCCTCGAACATTTTGTCGAAGGTGAAACCCTGCTTGGCAGAGGCGGAGGTGGTTTCGGCCTCCCGACGCAGGTTCTCCAGCTCCTTGGTGTACAGCATCACCAGGCATTGAAGCTCGTTGTCGATGTAACTGCAACACAAAACCACACACACACACACACACACACACACACACACACACACACACACACACACACACACACACACACACACACACACACACACACACACGCCACACACACCACACACAACAGTGGTAATAAGGTGTTGGCAGCTCTCGGGCCCGAGTGATGAAGAGTGCCAGCAGGCGTACTTGTCGGTGTAGTTGAGCAGGAGCGAGTCCACCATGGCCGCAAAGTCGAGGTCGGTCTTGTACTCTTGCAGCACGTTCACCTGGCACGCACCCCATATGAGCACCCGTGTACGTGCGTGCGTGCGTGCGACTGTGCGTGCGTGCGTGCGTGCGTGCGTGCGTGCGTGCGGTACGTACAAGTTGAATCGTCTTGCCGTAGGCGGTGGCCATCAGCCTGAGATAGGTCAACACCGAATCCGCTGCACCGGTGTGCTGCAGCATGCGCTCGAGGAACATGCTGATCTAGAGATAGAGATGCGGGCAGAGAGCGCGACAAATGAGCCCCGGACCCGTGCGCGGCAACGCACGAGATGATCAAGCTCGGGAAAAGAAAGCGTACTCGCTGTTCGAAGATCCGCTGCGCCAGCTCTCGCATCACCGCCGGCGGGTTAGGAAAGACTCGCGTGATCACCTGCCCGAACCAGGTCAGCGTCTCATGAGTGCATGCGCGTGCGATGGTGCGCGTGCGGTGGTGCGCGTGCGGTGTGCGTGTGCGGTGGTGTGTGCGTGTGCGTGTGCGGTGTATACCTTGTACTCCTTCTGACACGACGTGATGATGTCGTCGTAGAACTCGTTGATACGCGCCGATGCGAGCTCCACGTTGTCGAGGTCCTGCACGCGGGCGGTGTAGGTGCCCTGGTCGGCCAGGGCCTCGTCCATCTCCAGGCTCTCCGTGTCGAAGAACATCTTGAGCAGCGAGATGTACCGCTTCACGCACGAACTCCCGCCATTGAACTGGTACAGGATGTCCGCACACTCCTGCTCGCGACTCCAAATTAGGTGTGTGTCGTGTGTGTGCGTGTGTGTGCGTGTGTGTGTGGGTGTGGCGTGTGTGCGGCGTGTGTGCGGCGTGTGTCGTGTGTGTGCCTTCATTTTGGCGTAGTCGCCAGCGCCCGAGGCTTTGGTGAATTTCTGCAGGAGATTGTTCTCCAGCTTGTTGCTCTCGGACTCGACCAGCTCTTTGCCCTGCCCAACACATAATAAAAATATTTGAATAAACAAAAAAACTAAGTACAAATTGATGAATGGCAAAAGCAAAGAGTCGGCCACCAACCTGCTTGGTGCGCCGCACAAGGCCTTCAACCACCACAACCGGATCCTTCAGTACGGACTCCTGAGGCAGTGGCACATCCACCACCGATCTCGTGCGTGTTCTATGTAAGAGGGTGCGGTGTGTGCGCCGTGTGTGCGTGTGCGTGTGCGTGTGTGTCGTGTCGTGTGTCGTGTCGTGTTTGTGTGTGCGTGTGTGTGTCGTGTCGTGTTGTGTCGTGTTTGTGTGTCGTGTTAGCACGGCAGCATGCTGCTCCACGTGGAGCAAAGAGAGTTAGAAAAAGTGTACCGGTCGCGCTCGGCCTTCATGTGCGACATCTCTTCCTCAGCTCGCTCGAGCTCCTTGGTGAAGACGCTTAGTTTCTTGAGCAGCTTGGCACGTTCGCGCAGTTGCTTCTTGTCCAGGAAGATCGACGACTTGATCTCGCCCGAGCAGAGCTCGATGAAGTAGTTGATCAGCTCTGTTTTGAGAGGCGTCAGAATTATCGGCACGCGCGCGTGTGCGATGCGTGCGGTGCGGTGCGTGCGTGTGTGTGCGGTGGTTCAACACGGGGCAGGCATACCCTTTGCTTCAGACGCGGCAGTGCGTTGCTTTTCGACGGCCTCCAACCGATCACCTGCGCCGCGTAACATTAAAAGCAGCTGAGCGGCCGAAAACGAAGAAGTATCGACATCACCGCACACGCTCGTACCAATACGCACGGCAATGTTTCCCACGCCGCTGATACGCGCATCGAGTTCTTTGAACGAATTCAGGTTTCCCTGTGTGCAACAACACACGACACACACGACACACACGACGCACAACACACAACACAACAGACACACAAGATTGGTGTTAGCTTACGCGGTACGGGAACGTTGGGCGCGCGCGGCACCTGGAAGGTCCTGTTCTGCTCCCATATCTTGGACTTGTAGACCTCCTCCTCCTTGGCGCAGTCTTCCATCGACTTGGAGATCTTGGTCTCCACCTTGACGCACCCACCTCGACGTCAGTGACATGCGATACCGCGGTGCGTGCGTGCGCGTGTGAGTGTGCGTCTGCGAGCCGTACCTGTTCGCGCAGGTACTTCAGATCGGCGATGGTGTTGTCGAACAGGTCCAAGAAGGGCTCCGTGGCAAAGAACTCAGCTGCACAACAAATAAATAATAAATGATTAAAATAAAGGAAAGTACAATTTATTGATTGTGAGAGGGGGGGGTACGTCGTTGGGTCTTGCGGCCATCGCCAGTAGTGGGCGATCTGCTGCTTTTGTGCTGGGACTCATCGGATTCGTTCTGTTTCTGCTGCTGTCGGGTGAGCTGATACACCAGCTTTCTGCTCACAATGTCCACGTAGTCGTGCGCATCGAAGTTGGCCCCCTGGAACCTGTTGATGTCCGCCCTGTCCATCTTCTTTGCCTATGTAATTTGGCTGGTTATTTCCTTTTGCTTATCTTTATTTTTTCATTCATCTTTATTTATTCAGCTTATTTATCTTATTTATTTCAAATCCAAAATCATGGCACACTTGTGGTGAAAGAAGGAGGGGTTGTTTCATACGTATGTATCATTTGTTCTGAAAATGTGTGGTGGTGTTGGCTGACCTCACATTGGGGAAGGGGAAGAGGAAAAGAAGAAGAGGAAGAAGGGAAAGAGAAGGACGAGCTCAGGGCATGGCAATGTCCATGATGCGCTTGATGCCGATCATCACCTTGCTCCCCAGGTCTTCCCAGTGCGATCCAGCCAGCACCTTGTGCACCTGCTCACGTAAAGGAAAGGGAAACAAAATGAGAAACGAACAAGACAAAAAGATAATCAAGAGCAGCAAGCAAGCAAGCATACCCTGGTGACGTTGGCCTTGTTCTCTGTCTCGAGGGCAACGGCAAACTCGTGCAGAAGAGCCTCGAGCTCATCCGAGTACTGGCCGGTCTTGAGCTTCTCGTAGAGCTCGTTCATTCGGCCCTTGGCGTCGGTCATGGCCCGCGCCTTGCGCGGATCGGCGCCAACGCGCTGCGAGAGTGAGTCGACGATGGTCGAAAATTTGTTGACGATCTCGCCCGAGAGCGCCGTGGGCTCCTTGGTCAATTTCGGGGGAGCTGAAGAGGAACGAGATCACCGTCAGCTTAGACTCGCACGACACGCGATACGACTAGAATGACATACCAGCCGGTGCGGGAGCAGGGGCGCTGGTCTGTGATGTGGGTGGCGTGTTGGTGGGCTGGGAGACGCTGGGGGTGAACACGGTGGTCGAGCCGCTGCCAACACCCGAGACGCCAGCCGGGGCCACGGGCGTGAACACGGTGGGTGTCGAGCCGCTGCCCACGGCAGCCGGCGCCACAGGCGTGAACACGGTGGGCACGGCGCCGCTTCCCGACGCCGACGGAGTAAAGACGGTGGGCGCCGCCGAGCCGACGGCCGAAGCCACGGGAGTGGGACCGACGGTGGGGAAGACAGAGGGAGCGCCAGCACCGCCGGCCGATGGCATGGCGACCGAGGGCGCCACGGGGTGAGGCTCAAACGTGGTGGTCGCTGGGTTGTATTCGGTGTAGCCAGCCGCGCGAGCCGCGGCGGGAATGTAGGCTGCGATGTGGAAGGGATTCACAACAGGGCGCAGCGTTAGCGCTGACGCTTTGCCACCTCATGACCTCATACGTTTTGCTTGGTGGTGTTGCCGTACCTCCAGAGCCCTGGCCGCCGGGCGCGGCAACCGGTTGGGGGAAGGCAGCGGGGTTAGAGGGTCGGGGAGGCTCGGGGAAGGGCGACGGGCTGCCGCCGGCGGCCGGGCGGTGTGAGGGACCCGTGGGGAAGGGCGAGGGACCCGAGGTGGCCGTGTGGCCGTGCACGGGGTGCGCAACGGGGTGAGCCGAAGGAACGCTGGGCGTGAACGATGGTGTCGACGGGCCTGGGTTGACGAAAGGTACGAGGGTGAGTCTGGATTTCGGAAATAAAAATACGAAAAAGGTCGACGTACCAGCGGTGCGCACGGGCGCGGAGGGGTTGTAGCCTCCGGGGGTGAGACCAGCGGTTCTCTGAGGGCCAGTGGGCTGAGCCGAGGCGCCGGCAGGAGTCTGGTGCTGGGCGCCACCCTGCTCGGGCCTCACGTTCTCCGATTGGAACGGGAACGGAGGAACGCCAGCGGCCTACACAAAAGTTGTCAGACGTGATTGTGCACGGAAGGGGTGAACGAGCCAGGAAGCGGCGTACAGGCTGCTGGTTGAGCGCGTTGGCGACGCGGTGCAGCAGGACGGTGCTCGAGGGCGTCTGGAACTTCTGCAAACGTGACGCGGGACCCAGAGCTTATGAGCTTATGAGCTCCACTGCAGGAGGGGAGAGTGCTAACGTACGGGGTCGTTGAGCTGGGACAGGTAGCCCATGGCGGTCTGGAGCCTGCCCTGCGAGGCGAGTGCCTCGGCGTACTGCGAGTACTTGTTGGCGAGCACGTCGGACATGTCGTTGTAGTCGATCGCGCGGCGGAAGATGGACACCTTCTCCAGGACCTCCAGCAGGGACTCAACTGAGTCGTTGCTGCAAATAGAAAGGACACAAAAAGAGGTAATGTCAACAAACTCGCTTGCAGAGCCGCAACCGCCACGGCGCCGACCGAACGTACTCCTTGTTGATGGAGGCGTTGACCCAGGCGTTGACGGCCTTGTCGATGTTGCCCGCGCAGATGTAGCACAGCACGGCGGACCTGGTGTCACCGGCAGCCTCCAGGCGCGAGGCGAGGAAGTCGCAGAGGACGGGGAACTCCTCGCTCTTGGCGTAGGTGCAGAGGATGGCGAGGGTGCCCTTCCACGAGTGCAGCTCGGTCGATGCCACCAAGGTTTGCATCTCGTTCTTGACGATCGACGAGATGAGCTGTAGGGGGGGAGGGGGGAATTTAGCAACACACTTCAGAACCACACATGCAGCTAAAGTTCGATGGGGCGGGAGGAGTGCCTTCATGAAGGGCATGGTGTGACGCGCGAAGTATGCCTCCTGCGTCTTGGCCCAGAGATCGGGGCCACCGCAGGCAGCCAACACCAACGCGTCGGCCTGCAATAGACAGTCAATGTCAACACCACGTGTGAGCTGCTTGGTGCACTTGACGGGCGATCATTCGCCAAGGCCCACGGGCAACCGTACCGTGCGACCGATCTTCATGCAGCAGTTGACGGCAGCCTCGAAGTTGCCCACGATGAGCGATCGCGTGATGATATTCTCGGAGTTGTCCTCGGTGAGGTCGAACTTGATGGTGGCCTTGGTGGTGGGAATGGGCATCAGAGGCGCCTTGGCAGTCGAGGCCGCGGAGGTCTCGGACCCCGTCTCGGCGGGCGGGAGGTTGGCGGCGATCTGGGCGAACGGATCGTCGGAGCCGGACGGCTGGCCCAGTGCGGCGAACGGGTCATGACCCTCCGAGGGAGGCGGCGCGCCGAACATGTCGAACGAAGAGTCGGTGGGGGCGCCGCTCGAGGCGGGGGCGCCAAAGAGGTTGGACACGTCCTCACCCTCCTTGGTGGAAGCTGTGTTACAGAGGAAAGAGCATGACAGTCATTTGAATGGTGCTGTGTCGCACGTGAGAGCGAGCGGGGTCATACCAGCCGGGGAGCCGCCAAAGAGAGCCGAGGCGTCGTCTTCTTCCTTCTTGGCCTCCTCCTCGCTAGGTTCGTCCTCGCTGGCCTTCTCCTCGGCCGGCGCCTCCTTCTCCTCCTCTTCGGTTTCCTCCTCCTTGGCGTGCTCGGCCTCCTTTTCGTTGTCGGGAAGGCGGGAGATGAACTGGAGAAGAAAGTAAAGGAGAGAAGAAGAGGTGAGAAAACGTTTGATAACGGCATGTGGTGCGGTTGCGTCAGGCATGCGATTCGATCAGATAGAAGTTAAAGTGTCTCGTCACAAATGTTCAGTGAGATTCCCACTTCAATAATTCATCATGTTTGGCATGGAGGAGCGGGGGCGGGAGCATGTTTTTGTACCTCCAACACCTTCTGGTTCGTTTCCTCGGGTCCGAAGCCCAGGTGCGCCAAAAGCTGCGTGCGTGCGCTCTACGGAATGGTAAATAAAGGTTAGTGGACGCACGTGAGTAGGAGGAGAGGCGGAGTTGTGTGGAGGAAAGTGGTGTGTGCGTACCGACTCGAAGAGGACGCTGAGAAGGCTCCACTCCGCCTTCTCCTGCTCGTTGGCACTGTTGGTCATCTTCTCCTCGCAATAGGCCTTGCAGTCGTTGCTCTTAAGAGCCTCCTCGAGCCTCTGTGACCTGTCGACGAAAGTCTGGTCTGTGACGATGGTGCGGACCTGCACGTATGGGCGAGAGTG